ACAATTAAAGAAATTAAAGAATACTTTGACCGTTTAAATTATAATTATCATTATTATTATCATTTTTTTGTTTTTGTTTTTGTTTTTGTTTTTTGTTGGTTTACTCAAAACGCGTTGTTTGTTCATGAGGTAACATTTTCTTATAAAAAGCGCTTCTTTTCCTATTCTTTTTGTAGTTGGTTTACTCAAAACGCGTTTATTGTTCATGAGCCAACATTTTCTTATATAAAGCGCTTATTTATCCTTTTCTTTTTGTAACAATACAATTACAATAAACCCAATCGTCTGCTATGGAGGAAGTTTCAGTTGAAGAGATCTTTAACTTGGGTAGGAGCACAGAGTCTATTGCTAAAAATCAGAAACTTCTTTTCTAAATTTGTTTAGTCATTCATTTTACTAACTTTTTTTTTCATTAATTATATTTAGGATGTCAAGATGCCAAAATCACGTTCTAGACAGAAAACATCAAGAGAGTGTTGAACCTGGTGAGAGACAGGATTTCAGTTTTATAATTAATTTATATTACATTATATAACTTGATTTTCCCAATTTTTTTAAGTCATATTAATATTAGTGCTTATGTCCGGAACATAAATTACTTCAAAAACTGGAGTTTTTTCGTTCAATGACACACTAACACCTATAATTGTCGCGAATATTTCAACGGTTTGGCCCAGGTATTAGAAAATGGTCTGCTGGATAACAAAAAAAAAAAAAAAATAGAGGATATAATTAAATCGTTTGGTTCAAGGACAACATTGATTATTTATTTTTTTTTATTTTTTTAAAAATAAAAACTATAATTCAAATTCAATTGGTTATTTGCATGCAGTTTTTCATGATTTTAAACCCTTATAAAAGAAACCCCAAATATTCTCAAATAAGCATGCAATTTTTATGATTTTAGCCCTTCTTTATACATAGGCAACCCCGTTAAAATAAATAATTTTTAAAACACCAAAGCCAAACATATGTAAATTACCCGTTAATATGAATGTCACCAATAGAACTTTATAAACCGTAAACCGAAGAAATTTTTAATTTTTTTGAAGCCATTTATTTATATGTAAAATTGCCCCGTTAATCCGAATTTTTTATAAACCGAAGTGAAATAAAAATTGGGCCAATAATAATAATACACAAGTTACACATCTAAACTCGACAAGTCGGACATTTATTTATATTATAAACAATTGATTGCTGCGTCCGACCTATCGAGTTTAGATGTGTAGGTGAAAATTGAAATCTATAATTAAAATTTTGGGATGGAGTGTTTGGATATGAAATTCTGATTGGCTAATTTGAACATGTTCACATAAATTTCATTTTCGCGCACCACATGTACAAAAATTTAATAACCGGGGTAGACTTTCCCCTAGTGCAAACAGAGAGAAAAAAAAATCTACTGAAAAAGAAGTTGGAGCATCAAAAAGAAAACATACGCCTATAACAATCTCACAAAAAATAGAAGCATGCATTGAAAAAAATAAAGACCCAAACATAAAAAACAACCAGCTTGCGTCTAAATATAATGTCAGTGAATCTACTGTTTCTGAAATTCTAACAAAGACTGATTATTTTATCATTGAATCTAAATCAATTCACTGCCAGAAAATGGATAAAGGAAATTCTAAATCCTAAATTTTTAAATTTATTAACTCGTTTGTCCGAATTAATTTATGACTCTAAAACCGAAGAAAAGTTCCTGCACAATTACCTTCAGTTTGCCTATGTAATTTGGATACAAAATTCTGATTGGCCAATTTGCGTGAATTTCACAACATAATAATAATAATAAAGGTAAAAAATTAAGACTTAACATTCAGAAAGTCAAAGTTTATCCAACCTTTATATACTATAAAACAGTTTAACTAAGTCGTGGGTTGCCATTGGCAAGAAATTAGGTGAGTGGTGTAAAAATTTGAATAACCACAGCATAACAGTTAATAATAATAATAATATTATTATTATTATGTTTATAAAATCAGTAGTAGTAGTAGCCGAATTATTTACAAAATTTAATCAAAGTCAATGTTTTCACAAAAAGAAAATCTTCGGTTTAAAAAAACCTTAATAAAATCGGCTTACAGAGATAAATTTAACAAGTAGATAATACATCGGTTTATCATGTATATTTGTTTTATTAATTGATTTTTTTAAAAAAATAAAATAAAAACCAAAAAATTTTACGATCCTCGTTAAAAATTATTTACTTCACTTGGAAGCAATTATCAACAGTATGCTGTGACAAGAAGAAAAGGAAACAGCAGCAGGTGATTCTACAACTACAACAACTAATAAGAAGGGACAAGAGAAACTGAAATCAAAAGAAAAGATCTTAAAGATAAAAATTGTAATTTTTTGTGAACAACCATTTATCAAAAAAAAAACTCAAGTAAAAACATGAATATGTGTCAAGGTCTTTGTGGCTTAAGATATATTAATCATGTCATCAATAGCCCAGAAAGTTTTAATGATGGTAAAAGATCTGAAGATGTTACAAAACAAACTTTTCCTCAAAATTTCCTGAAAACAAATTTTTTTCTTAATAAAATAAAATAGAAAGCATTATTAGAAGCTGAAGCAACTTAGTATTTAGACAAAGAAAATTTAGCAATTTACTATATCCAATATGAAAAAAATTATATAATGAAAATGCTATATGCGATAAGTGTAAATAACTAGAATGTAATCAATAAAGTAGCTTTGTAAAAATTTTCATTTTGATTTGTTAATTTTGAAGCTAAAAGGCCTAACTGGTAAATTTTTATTAATAAAGTAAATAATATTGCCAAATATATTCCTTGCTAATAATAATCAATTCCTTACTTGTCCAAAGAATGTTACAAGGAAATTGTGAGTTTCTTCTGGAATAAAATGGTCAAAATCATCCAATGACAAGAGATATGAATTATCAGGAATCTGTTTTGTCAAAAAAACTTTTAGGTGTTATATCCATGATTCCTTTTAGTGCCAAAGGATCTTGATTTCTGTTCTTGAAATTTTTAAAAATGTTTAAAGTGTCCTTAGTTATGCTATCAATATGTATTTCCTTATTGAGAATACCTTGGATTTTGATCTGACCAAATATCATCAGTGTATTAGTCCATAATTTCCAAAAAAAAAAAAGAAATATATTGAAAATGTACATCATTTACTTCCTGGTCCTGATCATCAAGTTATTTGTTAAATGTTATGACTCTCAGTTGTCCAGTTCATAATTTCTCCCTTTTTTTGTTAATAATCAAATATTTTAAGTATGTGATTGATTTAAAATGTAAGATAAAGATGAAATGAGCAAATTACTTTAGGTTTTTTGCGATTTTCTTTGTCATCTTTGTCATCATCTTGTAGATATAAAAATCTTTTTGGATTTTTGTTCCTGAAATTTTGTTTCCATCATTTATATATTAATAGCTTGTACATGTCATTCAATTATACATCAGGAAATTTTCCCCACCGCAATATTACATCCATAAATTTTAATATGCAAAGTTGTAATATTTGCATAAAAATTATGTAATATTTACACTTGATGTAATAATT